ATGTCCCCTAGAGAGTTAGAGGAGTTACGTAAGCAGTTGGACGAGCTCCTTGAGAAAGGTTGGATTAGGCCCAGTTTGTCTCCTTTTGGAGCACCAGTTTTATTTGTCCCCAAGAAGGAAGGAGAGTTACGCATGTGTATAGACTATAGGGGTCTGAATGCTATTACAGTCAAGAATGTTGAACCACTGCCCAGGATAGACGATCTCTTAGATCGGGTGCATGGTTGTAGGTATTTCTCAAAGATAGACTTGAAGTCCAGGTATCATCAGATAGAGGTCCATCCTGATGACCAGTGCGAGACTGCGTTCCATACTAGATATGGGCATTATGAGTTCATAGTTATGCCCTTTGGACTTACCAATGCGCCAACCACATTTTAGCGATGTATGAATGATATGTTTAGGCCTTGGTTAGATAGATTCGTCGTAGTGTACTTAGACGATATCTTAGTGTTCAGTAGGACCCTCCAAGAGCACCAGGGTCATTTGAGGCAGGTCTTGGAGAAGTTGAGAGAGGCTAACTTCGAGATCAATGCGAAGAAGTGCGAGTGGGCCAAGACACAAGTCCTGTACTTGGGCCACGTGTTAGACGGAAATGGCATTAAGCCTGAGGACAGTAAGATAGCGGCAATTAGAGACTCGTTGACGCCCCGCACATTGACAGAGTTGCGATCGTTTTTGGCCTAAATAACTACTACAGGAAGTTCGTGAGGAACTTCTCTACCATCACCGCTCCCTTGCGCAGGTTGCTCAAGAAAGAGGCAATCTGGCAATGGGATAAAGATTGTACGTCTGCACTGAAGAAATTAAAGCGCGCATTAATAGAGTATCCTGTCCTCAAAGTAGCAGATCCGTCTTTGCCATTTGTCGTCACCACGGACGCGAGTCGGTATGGTATAGGCGCCGTATTACAGCAGGACGACGACAATGGCTATAGACCCGTAGAGTTCATGTCAGCGAGGATGCCCTCAGAGAAGGTTGCTACTTCGACATATGAGAGGGAACTCTACGCTCTTAGGCAGGCCTTAGAGCACTGGAAGCATTACCTGCTTGGGAGGCACTTCAAAGTGTATTCCGACCACGAAACGCTTAGATGGTTGAAGACACAGGCCAAAATGACACCTAAGTTTGACTAGGTGGGCCGCTGAGATAGACCAATATGACTTCGAGCTCAAGCTTGTGAAGGGCAAGTACAATGTAGTTGCGGATGCTCTGAGTAGGAGATCAGACTACTTTGGAGCTCACTATCCGGACATACGGAGTGACCTGCAGGAGAAAGTTAGACAGGCATATGCACAGGACCCTATCTATAGTGACCTCCTCAAGAGAGTCAAGGAGGCCCCAGAGACCGAGCCAGATTACCGCACTACAGAGGGTTTGTTATTCGAAAAGACTAATGTAGTAGACCGCCTATGCGTTCCCAAAAGTGGGGAAGTCCGCAGTTTGATCCTATGGGAATGCCATGATACAGAGGGACACTTCGGTTGGCAAAAGACTTTAGCCAATCTGATGCACGCGTACAGCACGACTGCATAGAGTATGTCCGCAGTTGTAAGGTCTGCCAGAGGAACAAGACCACTACGCGTGCCCCTCTAGGTCTTCTTAGACCGTTGCCTATTCCAGACCAGCTTGGAGACTCAGTCTCCATTGACTTTATGGATGCCGGTGTCAAGAGTAGGCACGGCAAGAGCCAAGTCATGGTTGTAGTTGACATATTTAGCAAGTATGCTATTTTTATTCCTTTGCCTGCAGCGACACTCACAGAGTTAGTGATCCAGAAGTTTTTCGATTTTTGGGTTAGTGAACATGGAGTCCCGTTGTCCAAAGTAGCGATACAGATAGTCGCTTCACCAGCCAGAACTGGCAGGAACTCGTGAGAGTTTATGGGTCAAAGTTGCTGATGTGGTCTGGCCGCCATCCAGAGACTAACGGTCAGACAGAGCAGAACAAGATCCTGCAGCAAGTTCTGCGCATGTATATTAGACCAGATCAGATTAACTGGGACGAGATGTTACCCAAGGTAGCCAGTGCATACAATAACTGCGTACATTTGTCTACCTGTCGCACTCCCAACGAGTTACACAAGTCTTTTAGGCCACGTAGACCATTCGAAGGACTGAACCGGGATCAGATTCACAGGCTACCGCTCGGTACAAGGGAGTTCGCGATACAGCATGAGAAAGAGATAGCCACTGTTGTTCAAAACCTCAGGAAGGCCCAGCACCGTATGATAGAACAGGCTAATAAGCATCGTCACCCATCGCAGTTTCAGGTAGGCGACCTAGTCTGGGTCAAGCCTAAGGAGTTTCCGCCTGAGGAGAACATCTCGCAGAAGTTACTGCCCGCGTATATAGGACCGTGGCCAGTTCTAGAAGTTAGAGATCCCAGCACACCTCCACACCTACCCTGTGTTTCACGCATCAAAGTTGCTGCCGTGTGTCACCAGTCAACAGTGTCCATCTAGACGGTCCATGATCCCTCCAGACATGGACGGAAGATATGACATTGACAGCATTGAAGGTGAAGATGTATTCAGAACAGGAGGTAGAGGTCATCCACAGAAACAGTAAAAAGTCCGGTTTGCTTATCAGGAGCCGGAGGATGACCGCTGGTTCACTCGAGCAGAACTTCTAGAGACAGCTCCCGATATAGTTAGAGCCTATGAAAGAGATAAGAGAGATAAAGGTCCTGCCTTGGACTGAGTTATTCTCGGAGGACCTCGAATTTAGGCCGGCAGGAGTGAAACGGTATTCACCAGTTCGCAGTAGCTGATGCAGATCCCAGGGTTTGATCCCTAGTCCCCACCTCACCTATGTACAGTACCTGTGTCGACCTCAAGAGTTCAACCCGTGACCTGTGTATTTGTAACAGTGGTAGACTGCCGTAGGGTTCAGTGGTCGCAGGGGTTCGATCTGTAGACCTGTCGAGTAGTAGTCCCAGTCAGGAGACGTTGTAGCTGTAGTTGTCTCGAAGAGTCAAGGTCGTAGCTGCTACAGTCCAGAAAGGTCAAGGTCGTAGCTGCTACAGTACCGAAAGGCCAAGTCTACGGTCTTCCGGAAGGTCCGAGTAGTGGCCTTTCAGTGTGTCCCACGTTTAGGCTGAGGCAAGTGGGCAGGTGGTGAGGCAAGTGGTGGAGTCTACCCGTGCTAAGTCAGCAGTCCCAGTCCTAGGCAGCCCTGGTTCAGTCCAGCAAGTACCGCATGGGACTGTGTGCACTTCGGGCATGGGAAAGGGCCAGACCAACGAGCTGCAGAAGTATAAATCAAGAGGCAGCGCCCAGCCATTTATTCATTCCTGCGTGAGCCATGCGGAAGCGCTGCCACAGCGACTTGTGCAGGGAGGTCTGCAGTGAGCCCGAAGACGAAGTGGGCAGAGAGACGAAGCGTAGCCATAGCGATAGGGTAGAGGCGGCCATAGCCGCCATAGCTGTAGTTGGAGTTCAGTGTGTGTGTATGTGAGTGTTTAGAGAACCGCGTGTGGGATATCCAGGGTGATCCAGTGTATGCGAACAGAGAGTTGTGTGAACGCTATGTCGTCATAGCCAGTTGAAGTGAACTCGTGTCTGAGTTGCGTTCTTGGTTGTCATATCTCTGAGTTTTGAGTGGGCGCATGTCGCCAGTTTGCTGCGCTACTGTTTGCATGCATGTAAAGTGTGAATGAAAGCGAGTCTGATTGCACACAGACAGTTGGGAGGCCCAACCGAATGAGGCCCAGTAGCTGCTCCAGAGGCGCAGCATCCTGGGGCCTACCGGAAGCTTCTGGGCCCAGGCCAGTCCAGCCAGGCTGCCAAATGAGGCAGGCTGTTTCCATATAGGAAAGAGCTCGCTGCCTGGCCAGGGCGTTCAGGCACTTGCTGGCTGGCCGCAGCGCTGCTGGAGCGATAGCTCGCGTGCTGGCTGCTGGCATTGGAGCAAGAGGCTGCGCACGTGCGGTCGTGTGGTGAAGCAGGGCGCTGCTGAGGGCAGCGCCATAGCCCAGCCTCCATAGCTGGTTGTGGGCTTGGACATACAGTGAGGCGCAGGGGTGGTCTTCGGGCGTACAACAAAGGGAGATGTGGGAGAGAGTCAAGGGGGAGAGAGAAGGATGATGATGATGATGATGATGATGATGTGAGGGCACACACCTGGTATTGGCGGTGATTCTGCATGGGCGACATGTTCAAGTACTTCGGGTGCTGCTGACGTCAACAGTTGCATTGTCAATTCGTAGGCTAGTAGTAGCTGTGTAGGGAGTAGGCTGGGCGCCGAGCGCCAGGTAGGGAGATAGAGACTGGATACATATGTTGGTGGTGGCGAGAGCAAGCTCTCATTGACATTGACTTTCAGTGCTACGATTCTCCACTGGTGTTATATTGGTGCAATGCTGCTTCCTGAACACTGTGTTACGATTTGGCTTTCAATGTGATTGTGCAATCTGAATGTTGTCATCTCGCTTCTGTTCATTTTCCTTGCATGGGGATTCAAATTCGATTTTCCGGGGCCAGATTGCAGGATTTCTGAAGGAAAAACCTGGGGGCTGGTACCCCCGATTTTTTTCCCCTCATCCCTGTAAATGATTCAAAGAGGGGTGTGGGCGCAATGTGCCAAAACTGCGTCAAACTGGTCCCTTGTGATTTTGAGCACTTTGGCCCGGTGGCCCAGCCCAGCTAACCGCGTGGGTCCCATGCTGATTTGAGGTGCCTGGAGAGCCCAGCTGGTAGCCCAGGTTGCCACTCAGTTATTCTAGTTCGATCTGTAATGTTCTTTTCAAGTTCCCTTTTTGTCCTTTTTTCTGTTTTTCCCAGCTGAGATACTAGCTTGTCAGGACAGATGCTCTCGTCCTTCTCCCTTGGTTTTTGTTTGCTGCAATTGCCTCCCTCTAACTCTGCACCATTCTTTTGCTTGTGTCATCAGAAATGGGGAATGTTATTTTACTATCAACGAACCAAAGTTTGAGTAATGTATGCCACTTCTAGGAACATGACAAACATGATGTTTATTGCTTTTGAGCTTGTCTTTCAGTCCTGCTGTATATCATGCTCCACTGTCGCCGTCATGGGTTCGAGCTGATGGTCAAGCGGAGGTTGGTTATGCACCTTCCTATCAAGCAAGTCAGGTCAGTGCATCACCTGTTGCTGTGGAGACTACCTCTCGACCTCCAAGTTCTCCGCCGATGTTACCAGGGTTCAATCCTAYTTCCAYTTCTCCGCTACACCAAAATGCCAACCATGGCATGGGCCCTCATTCACATCTGAATGCTCCCCCACAGGCAGAAGCTGCATCACATAAGCATGTGCTGCCAGCACAGCAGCAAGTTCTTGCACCTGCAACGTCAGGTATCCCTGACCAACCCTCGGCTGGATTAGAGGTGMAGGCTGGTGGGATGCCAACAGATGCAGCAGGCACTAGTTCCCTTGTGGAAGTAGTTGTGACTCCCATGAATGGCACAACATTTGATTCTCAAGGTGTCATGGCTCGGAATGAGCCGTCACAAGGGCCCATTAGATCGGGAAGCTTGGAAGATGTCCAGAGAACTGGGAGCTGGAACAGCCGAAGTCCGGGCATCTCATCCACAGGAACTGAGATATCATTCAAGGAGTGGCCACTGAGGACAACCCAGCCTGGCCAAGAAGACCAACGAGCAGAAATTGGTCCTCAAAGGGCCGCATCGCCTCTGCTAGAGCAATCTCAGCAACGGCAACAGCAACAGCAACAGCAACAGCAACAGCAACAGCAGCAACAACAGGTGAGGGATCCACTTTTTTTTATTTGTGTTTAGCATCCTTGTGCTGTGGCTATATCTTATCATCTTGTTATATTCCCAATTTTAACAGATGTCCCAAGGTACGAGGAGTTGACATGGA